TGAACTTTGTGTTTATATTTCCACTATAGTAATTGTAATATATGTTCTCGCACTTCAGACAGAGATATCCCACGTCGTACCCCATCCTAGATGTTTCTATCTCGCCCAATCTGTCTTGTACCTTTACGTGGCATTTCGCAGAATTTTTACACTGCGGTGTATTTATCCGCGCGTTAACTACTTGAAATTGACATTTTGCATTAAAAAGGTTCTGTTTTTGTCGTTATATGTATAGTTTTGATGTTGTTAGATATTTGATGTTGTAGATATAATATAATCTACACTGTGAACTACGTTGTAATCTATGTAAGGACGGACTACGTTTTTACGCGGAAGCATTCAAGTGTAGCTTAAGTAGTGAAGAGGTCATTATCATTTGAGGCCCAAGGCGGGATACTTGTAGTTTTTAGCAAAATTGAAATTTGTTTTCGAACTAAACAGTGCGAGAAAAAAAATCAATTACCTGCAACTGAGGTAATAAACAAGAAATATAATCCATCCCTGATATGAGGTAAGGATACGGTTATTCAAACCCTCGGGATAAACTATTGAGCCTCGGTTGGGATTTTGTTACAGAATCTTAACCCTCGACTGAGATAACCCGATCTCGCTCAGTTACAGGTACTAATTTCTATTATTCTTTAAAAAAGTGTCTTAAAATGGATATGAGTTGCTGCCGTAAAATCTCTTCACTTTAGTCACGGTACTGTCAAGTACAAACATTTACAAAACAATATAATCGGCGTCATCCGCATTGAGGATTTACCAACAAACGTCATAGTGCCACAGTAGAAGTAAAATATTGTGTGGCCCCAAATCCTCGGGCAGAGAAACAAAATTATGTAAATTGGGACATTATCGTGTGTGGAAATGGTCGCGTTGTGATTCTTCAAACAATATCAATTAATATTCGCATACCGAAATGTTTCTAGCAGGAAAAACGCCAGCATTTCCACACCGAAAAATTTCACGTTTGCAGTAGATAAACAGATATATTTGGTAGTTAATACTGGGAATCATTCACAAAACAATTTAAGGATTTTGTTTGATTTACATACCATTTGAAATTAAAATTAAAATCACGAAAGTAAATCTAGATCCGTGCTGACTGGATTGCGTGCCAAATTTTTTTCTGCACGGCACCAGGTATCGCTTTGTACACTCTGCAACGCTTCATTTTTAAAATACAAGATTTTAGTATGCAGTATGCTAAAGAGAGAGAGAGAGAGAGAGAGAGAGAGAGAGAGAGAGAGAGAGAGAGAGAGAGAGAGGGATGTAATTAGACATGTCATCCGTTTGAATTTGAATAAACAATTGAATCCAAAAAATAGAAAATAAAAAATAAACAATCAATAGGTGTTTAAATACTTTTTTTAATAAGCAATATAATAAAGAAAAAACGAAGAACAAATTAAAAATAAAAATATTGTTTAGAAACAAAGCACAACGCGTACGACACACATCTCCCAATTTGTGAAACTAGTTATATCGCTAGAGAGCCGGTCCATGATCGCGTGTATCGGGTGACAAATATGTCTCTACTTCTTACAAAAACAAAAAAAATGTAATGATAACAAAAAACACACACAAATAGATAAGAAATTGTAAAACAAAAACGTGTTGATGCGATAAAGTCATCCTCGTCCAAACAATAAAAAAAATCTGAATATTACATACTTCTACTGCATACTTAGCTAGTAATGAAACGTCCAACAGATCCACTCTATTGCACAACAAACAGGACAATTAAACCCGGAACAACTGGCATGGCACTCAAGATCGGGAACAACTGACAGGACACTTAACACCCGGAACAACCGACAGGACACGTAACACCCGGAACAACTGACAGGACACGTAACACCCGGAACAACTGACAGGACACGTAACACCCGAAACAACTGACAGGACACGTAACACCCGGAACAACTGACAGGACATGTAACACCCGGAACAACTGACAGGACACTTATCACCGGAACAACTGAGTGGAAACGTAACAACCGGAACAACTGACAGGACACGTAACACCAGGAACAACTGACAGGACAATTAACACCCGGAACAACTTACAGGACACTTAACACCCGGAACAACTGACAGGACACTTAACACCCGGAACAACTGATAGGACACGTAACACCCGGAACAACTGACAGGACACGTAACACCCGGAACAACTGACATGACACTTATCACCGGAACAACTGAGTGGAAACGTAACACCCGGAACAACTGACAGGACATGAAACGCCCGGAACAACTGAAAGGACATTTAACTCCCGGAACAACTGACAGGACATGAAACGCCCGGAACAACTGAAAGGACATTTAACTCCCGGAACAACTGACAGGACATTTTACAGCGGAACAACTAACTGGGCTCGTACCACCTGGAACATCTTTCCGGACACGTAACACCCGGAACAACTGACATGACACTTATCACCGGAACAACTGAGTGGAAACGTCACAACCGGAACCAATGGCAGGACACGTAACACCAGGAACAACTGACAGGACAATTAACACCCGGAACAACTTACAGGACACTTAACACCCGGAACAACTGAGTGGAAACGTAACGCCCGGAACAACTGACAGGACATGAAACCCCCGGAACAACTGAAAGGACATTTAACTCCCGGAACAACTGACAGGACACACAACACCGGAACAACTGAGTGGAAACCTAACACCCGGAACAACTGACAGGACATTTTACAGCGGAACAACTAACTGGGCTCGTACCACCTGGAACATCTTTCAGGACACGTAACACCCGGAACAACTGACATGACACTTATCACCGGAACAACTGAGTGGAAACGTAACAACCGGAACAACTGACAGGACACGTAACACCAGGAACAACTGACAGGACAATTAACACCCGGAACAACTTACAGGACACTTAACACCCGGAACAACCGACAGGACACTTTACACCCGGAACAACTGACAGGACATAAAAAACCCGGAACAACTGAAAGGACACTTAACCCCCGGAACAACTGACAGGACACTTACCCCCCGGAACAACTGACAGGACACTTATCACCGGAACAACTGAGTGGAAACGTAACCCCCGAAACAACTGACAGGACATGAAACACCCGGAACAACTGAAAGGACGCTTAACTCCCGGAACAACTGACAAGACACTTAACACCGGAACAACTGAGTGGAAACGTAACACCGGAACAACTGACAGGACATAAAACACCCGGAACAACTGAAAGGACATTTAACTCCCGGAACAACTGACAGGACACTTAACACCGGAACAACTGAGTGGAAACGTAACACCGGAACAACTGACAGGACATAAAAAACCCGGAACAACTGAAAGGACACTTAACTCCCGGAACAACTGACAGGACATTTTACAGCGGAACAACTAACTGGGCTCGTACCACCTGGAACATCTTTCAGGACACGTAACACCCGGAACAACTGCCAGGACACTTTACACCCGGAACAACTGATAGGACACTGTACACACGGAACAACTGATATGACACTTTACACCCGGAACAACTGACAGGACATTTTACAGCGGAACAGCTAACTGGGCTCGTACCACATGGAACATCTTTCAGGACACGTAACACCCGGAACAACTGCCATGACACTTAACACCAGGAACAACTGACAAGACACTTAACACCCGGAACAACTGACAGGACATTTTACACCGGAACAACTAACTGGGCTCGTACCATCTGGAACATCTTTCAGGACACTTAACACACGGAACAACTGACAGGACACTTAACACCCGGAACAAACGACAGGACACGTAACATCCGGAACAACTGACAGGACACTTAACACCCGAAACAATTGACAGGACACTTAACACACGGAACAACTGACAGGACGTGTAAAAACCGGAACAATTGACAGGACACTTTACACCGGAACAACCGAGTGGACACTTAACACCCGGAACAACTGACAGGACATGAAACACCCTGAACAATTGACAGAACACTTTACACCGGAACAACTATCAGAACACTTAACACCCGGAACAACTGGCAGGACACTTTACATCCGGAACAACTGACAGGACAATTTACACCCGGAACAACCGACAGGACACTTTACACCCGGAACAACTGACATGACAATTTACACCCGGAACAACCGACAGGACACTTTACACCCGGAACAACTGATAGGATTTTTTTACACACGGAACAACTGATAGGACACTTTACACCCGGAACAACTGATAGGACAGGTTACACCCGGAACAACTGATAGGACAGTTTACACCCGTAACAACTAATAGGACACTTTACACCCGGAACAACTGATAGGACACTTTACACACGGAACAACTGATATGACACTTTACACCCAGAACAACTGATAGGACACTTTACACCCGGAACAACTGACAGGACAGTTTACACCCGGAACAACTGATAGGACACTTTACACCCGGAACAACTGTTAGGACACTTTACAACCGGAACAACTGATAGGACACGTCACTCAAGGAATAGTGACGGGGGATTATTATCACATAAATAAACAAGAATATGAAAATATATTTATACTGGATAATTGGTGGGTTCTTTTACCGCTTGCGCTTGGTTATGTTGTTATAAAATATATAAATATTGATATGCTGAGAAAAGAGGAAGCAGAAATGTCGCAAAACAGATAGTTTTCTGCTTAATCATGATTTAGGCTAGTTAGATTTATCAAGTGTCCGAAAGAGATCTTTCTGTTTTCGTATATACTATGCTTCTCCAAAGTAAACTTTCCCTTATATCCTACTTCCATCATATTAAGTTGTTAATATCTAAAACAAATCCAATTATCTTACCAAAACAGACTTATCTCCATTACGAAAATTGTCACGCATGTTATTAACTTCCTCTCTCTGTTTTGTTTAATTTCTTCAATTGCGCGTTTCTTCTCTAACGCGTATTCGGCATTTTCAGGACACGTTTTATCCTGAACAATAAAAAGATTACATTACATCTGGAACAATTAACAGCACACGTTACATCCGAACAAGCAAATATGTGTTCTGCGTATTCATGATTTTATTGTAGAAAGTTTAAGTCCACTTTAACAATCCCTTTACTGCACCTCCAATTGTTCCTACTAAACCTCCAATGGATTGTGCTGCTCCAATCATTAACCTTCCCATAATGGTCTTATTTCCATTTTCGCATTCCTTCCTATAATCATCACGATAGCTTACACATTTTTCTTGGAGCTCTTCCATTCTTTTCTCTAATTCGCGTTTCCCCATTGACTCTAACTCGGCTTGTCTGTTTTCTTTTTCTTCAATTTCTCTTTCCTTTGCTTCGAGTTCCTTTTTAGCAGCTTTCTGCTTTCGAAGTGTTTCTTCAAATTCCTGAGACTTTTCTTTTTCCTTTGTCTGAAGTTCCAATTCCTTTGCTTGAATTTCCTTTCGACTTGCCTCAACTTCTTTTCTCTGAGATTCAATTTTCTTTTGTTCGGTTTCCAGGTCTTCCTGTATCTTCTTTTGTGCCTTATCAATCTTCTTTTTTTCCTCAAGTCGGAATTCCTCAGCTCTTCGCTGAAACTCCTGTTCTGCTTTCTCAAACATCTCGTTTGAGTAGTATGATTTCCCAGTCCCATTCATATCTTGCACCTTTTCAACCAGTTCAAGTGCGTCGGCGCCAGTTTTCTGACCTCTTGGAGAGTTATCAAATGCTAAATATTTTTGACCACATCTCTGTAAAATGTCTTTCAGTTTGTCTGGAACCTTTTTGATATACTCATGAATGGTCATATCGTCGTTTTCTAAGTCATCTTTTCGTGTAAAAAGTACTATCAGGTACTTGAAGAATTCTTCACCAAAGACATTACTGAAGTGGGTGATTGTGTTCTGCTCTTCTGGTGTGATGCGCCCTACTTGAACAACAAGAATAAAGGCGTGAGGTCCGGGAGCGAGCATTGCTATGCATTTAACGATTTCTTTTGTGATATCTTCGTTCGATAATGCCGTGTCAAACAATCCCGGTGTATCCACTACTACCAACTTCTTGCCAAAGCGCTCCGTTGTGTTGAATCCACATCTACTTGTTACTGAAGACCCAGATAATTTAGATACGAAATCTTTTCTACCCAGTATGTTGTTTCCAGTAGCACTTTTTCCAGTCCCTGTGCGACCTATCAAAGCCATCCTGTACTCTTTCTCAGCTCCGTATGAAATATCTACATCTACAATAAAACAGTATCAAAAATAAGTGTATTGATAGTGAGTACAGTGTGGACGAGTTAAAGCATGTAGAGCTATTTACGTTACCAGCTTAAGTGCCTGGTTCCATGTTTTTCACTGCTAGATTATTGAAATATTAGTTTTTATCATATTTTTCTAATTTTTTATATTAAAGCTCTCGCTCTCTCTCTCGCTCTCTCTCTCTCTCTCACACACACACACACACACACACACACATACCAGTCAATCCTGTCATGTTTTCCGTCACAGCCAATCCTGTCATGGTTTCCGTCACAGCCATTTCTGCCATGTTTTTCTGCGAAGAATATAGATACGTATAAATATGTATATAGGCAACAATAAAATAACGACGGTGCAGACACAGAAATCTGTCTATGTTATCTTAAAAACGTGAGGTCAGGTGAATTAATACAAAAAAATGGAATACATTGAAGGGAAAAATCTATCTTGTAGTTGTTTGCGTAAACACAGCGTGAAAAACAACATGTCAATTGCCTCATAGCTAGACGGCCGAGGTGACTATTACTTTACACCTAAACCCGGACAAATTTCTTTGAAATTCAAATCTTCAGGTATATGAAATATGACCTCAATGACCTCCACCTTTGACCTTTTGACATTGAAGTTAGTCTTTAAATTATTTGTTCCATTCTCAACACTCTTGCTTCATATACATATTGCAAAATATCTACCTTTCAAAGGAAATATGATATCAGTGACCTTCATCTTTGACCTTTAAAGTTGGACAGTAACTTTTTTTTTTCGATTCTAAACATTATTGCTTCATATACTTATTAACAAATATTTACCATTAAAAAATATGAAATTCAACCTCAATGACCTTCACCTTTGATCTTTTGACCTTGAAAGTTGGTTATTAAATAATGTGTTCTATTCTAAACACTATTGCTTCATATACTTGTTACAAAATATATAACTTTAAAAGGATATGAAATATTCGCTAAGTGACTTATTTCAGGAAGCTGCGCATGTTGGCTAACTTTCAGAATGATTAACGGTAACCTAACGACTCCATGCTTGGATTTAAAAAGTGTCATCGACAATTATTTACAACAATTAAGAACGTCAAAAAAGTATCCAGTGCGACCATCTTTTATATTTAAATAACCGTATTTAATATGATATTGAACTCCCGTAAATAAGAACGAAAGTCGTTTAAACCGGAAGTTTACCATCGCAGCGATATGACATCTGCTGAGGATGAAGTCTGAAAGTGAAAGAATGTGTGCTTTCTGTTGTTATTGCTCACTTATCTACATGTTGATTAGAACAAACGATACTCAGAGTATATCATCACCTAAACGGAATAGGTAATTTCGTGCGATGGAAGAATTAAGCCCATCGCACTGACGGCAACACTTCTCTACAGTACTGTACTGAAGATCTTGACGTTGAAAATTTCATTCGAAGCATTACAGCAATTCCGTCCTGACTGTTGACAGAGATTTAGTTCCGAAATAATTGATAAATGTCAGTGTAAACAGATTCAAGTGATACGAAAGAACGTTTGAAAACTGCAACTGAAAATAAATGTCTCGAGTCATAGTCAATGACCCCAAGGACCCATACCGAACCGAAGCATTCAGACACGAGTAGACGAGTTTCTACAATGAGGTAAAAATATAGTATCATATTATATAGTGCGCATGCTTTTGTGCAGATTGTCAGATTGTTTACTTTCTTATCATACTCTCAGCAAACCCCTGACCAAACTTTGTTTCACGTAGGACATCAGCTGTGTTCCTCTGATTAGCAAGAGCCATGCTCAGTTTTCTAGATTTAGGAAAAGAGGTGGTAGGAAATACATTAATACATTACAGGTAATTTCCCTTCATGTAAATTTGTTTTCATGTGTTGTAGTTTAATTAAACATTCAGTGCATTATACTCTTTTCCTCCCTGCATGTAATCTCTGTTTAGGGAGTGAAATTTTGTTAAGAATATATCTTATCCGGTTGCATTTCAACTCAAAACATCAAAGTAACTGATTTCATTAAAATATTTTAAAATTAGTGAACAAATCACTTTGTTTCTTAATGTATTTGTAGTGTATCAAATGCTTTTTGTCAAATTAAATCCACATTTGAACAAATCAGAGTAAATGTTTAAAATATGCATAATTTGTTTTTATTTATTACAGGAAGTAAGGACGGAAAGTAAAATGCAATAGGCCAAACCTGGATAGATCAAATCATAGAGAATAATTTATTAGGGCATAGGTCATCATGACAAGGGTGGAAAATGAATAGAAACAAAATACCAGCATACCAGGTTTTTGTTACAAATCGTTAAATTTCTTTGTCTTTTTTTACAGGAATGTTTTAGGTCATGGATATTTATGCAGAAAGCCTTATGTAAGAAGACACCATGATTGAAACAAAACTCTGGACAATTTAATGTGAAAAAAAATCAAATACATAGGTCCTGTAAATGTGTTATTAATTTGATATATAAAATTCATACTACAATGCACATACTCCAAAGACAAACATTCGTATCTTTAGTTAATAATAACAATATGATAATTCGATACCGTTTTATCACAACCTAGTTCGTAGGTCGTATCAAAGCGGTTCACAAATTATTATCCGTGGTTATAGGGCCTTTGCAACCAGCAATACCTTTTAATTCCCTGGGGAGCATACATTCGGTGCTGCCATTTCGGTGCTCACAGCTAGCATTCAGCAATTCTAGCATTGCCCAACCACGTACTCATTTACAGCTGAGTAGACTGGAACAAGCGGAGTAAAGTATCTTGCTCAAGGATACAACACAGTGCCGTGCCGTGCCGTGCCGTGAACCCGCAACCCTTCGGTCACGAATCCGGCGTCCTACCACTAGACTACCGTGCCTCCCAAGTTATATATGTATATTGTTAAAGATTAGTCACAATATTTCATAATCCGTTTAAAAAAAAAAAAGTATCTGAAAAGGAACATTGAAAAGTTGAATGTGCAGTATATAAACTGTAATGAATGAGATAAAAAGAAATTACTAAAGTTACAGAAACAATGCTTATATAACAAGGTAAAAAGCATTCACTTACGTTTATGCGACTTGTGCTGTGGTTTGAAGACTCTTGCAATGTCCGTAAAATTCATGAAGTGCTTGGGCATTTATAGTTTCCTTAACAATGCAGAACTATTCAAGGAGTGGGTAGGTGAACAACAATTCCGAGAATAAATAAGCCTTTCCTAGAATTCGTACTCCAGATTAGTTTGTTTTGCAATGTTCGTAAAAGTGCTTAAACATGTATATGTTAACTAACGATGCTGAACTATTTAGGGAGTCCGTAAGAAAATTTCAATTCCTAGTATCGGATTTCTAAACTCTGTGTGAAGATTGCCGCTATTGTCGATGAGTCTGACAATATATAATAGTTGTTTCTCGGTCACACGTCCTTGTTTTTAAGTGTTGTTAGCTTCATGTAAAATACACGTATTCGTTTATTTGTTGTACCATGTATCTGACATTTTAATTGTGGGGTTAGTTATTACCATTCCATTATTAACGGCCCATCAACAAAGAGCCAATAAATAGTAGCATTGTGGGGTTAAGCTTTTCATGACAACTGACACAGATGGGAGCATAACTCATGTGGATTAACGCATGCTGGATCACGTCCATTATACTAGATATTTCTATTAGCTTTATTTATTTTACAACAATCAAGAAACAAGGTTTTAAAACTTATACTAATCACTCTTGTTTGCCCGAATGCTAGCGCGCGGAGGTCTTACTGTGGGAGGAAACCGGAGTACCCGGACAAAACCCACGTGTTTCGGAGTTATTTCGGAGAAACTTTGCTGCTTTTCTTGACAAAGCTGGCTTCCTCTTTTGATAGCACCACGTTACATACATGTTTTGATTAATACTTCTTATTCTGTATTATGTTTCAAAAATGTGATTTGATTAAAATCAATGTAAGTTTTTTAAATGTGTTTTATTATTTTTGTTTCTCTCCTGTTATAAAATGACTAAAACACATAGTAAGTTAACTTAGTAAATATTAATAACTTTATTTTTCTGTAAATTTTCTCTCATGAAATCTGTTTCTAATTCATATTCAGAATCTGATATTACACTTTTTGATATGTTTAATATCTTTCCTGTAACCAAAATATTCCACAAGGTAATACATTATTTACATAATAACCCAACCCCCAACCTGGTCCCCCTCCTATCCATAATTTACCAAATGACAAATAAAGTCTATTATGGCTTATTTACAATTTCAAAAAAATCAGCAAATATTCATATTTTCCCAAATTGTTTTCAATAAATTATTGATACTGGCATCATAAATAACTAGATGTGTATATATAACTATGTAACTAGTCTGAGGTATTCTTATAACTAGGCACCAGTTTGATTTAAATTTGAATGCAACATTCTTCTATCTTTTTCAGGTAATCACAATAAAACGGGAGCCTGAAGTTATTTCCTAGTTCCTATTTCCGTTTAAGATAAATGGAACTAGGAACCAGACCCTAGTTCGTTTAACATAATCGGAACTGGGAACCAGACCCTAGTTCCGTTTAAAATTGAAATAACACTATCAATGGAACTTCGACCACAATACTAGGTCTGTTTCAGAAAGAAAAAAATCATAGCCAGCCTCTTATAATCGACTGGGAACTCAAATCTGAATCCAGTACAGGAATCGAACCGACAACCTTTCACAAGAAAAATAAGACCTACAATTAATTGGTCTTATACGGAACTGAGTGTCAGACTCCAGGTACGTTTTTCCTTAAACGGAACTGGTAACCAGACTCCAGTTCCGTATAGTAAACGTATATGGGGTTTTTTTGTAATATTTTCCCTGTCTACTTTGCAAAACGAATGGTCACAGGAGCGTATTTATATCTGAATCCAGTATAGGAATCGCACCCACAACCTTGCAGACGAAAATTAAGACTGCCATAGCCTCTACAAAGAAATTAGTCTTATACGTAACTGAGATTCAAACTTCAGTTACATTTTTCCTTAAACGGAACTGGGAACCAGGCCCCAGTTCCGTATAGTAAACGTATCCGTGTTTTGTTATTCTTTCCCTGTCTACAAGGCGCATCGTTATATGTGATTCCAGTACAGGAATCGAACCCACTACCTTCCAGATAAAAATTAAAACTACCATAGTCTGTATAAAGGAATTGGTCTTATACGGAACTGATATCCAAACTCCAGCTACGTTGTCTCTTAAATAGAACTGGGAACCAGACCCCAGTTCCGTGTAGTAAACGTATATAAGGTTTTCTTGTAATTTTTTCCCTGTCTACGTTGCAAAACGAAAGGTCAAAGGAGCGTTCCGTATAGTAAACGTTTATGTTTTTAGTTATTCTTTCCCTGTCTACAAGGTGCATCGTTTTATCTAAATCCAGTACAGAAATCGAACCCACAATTTTACAGACGACAAAATTAAAACTTCCATGGGTTCTATAAAGGAATTGGTCTTATACCGAACTGAGATCAAAACTCCAGATACGTTTTCTCTTAAACGGAACTGGGAACCAGACCCCAGTGTTACGGCACGATTTCTCACCCGACACGATTTCTCACCCCGACACGATTTCTCATCCGGGTGAGACATCGTGCTAAAAGTGCTGCGGTCGCAACACGATTTCTCACCCTAACACGATTTCTCACCCCGGTGAAAAATCGTGCAAAACGTATGGGCATAGGTGACACGTTTTCTCACCCGGCACGATTTCTCACCCCAACTCCCAATTAGGGATGGATTTTGTCCGTGGTGTCTTAAAACTAAGTGAACATGTAATAGATGAGTTGACATGATTTTAAATGAGAAGTTCAATGTACAACATGCCTTATATTTATTGTTTGATTTATCTATCAATATATTTATTCATATCTTATTATATAATGTATTGCTTTTTACTGAAAGTCGATCTAAACCCCTAAAACATATACAAATTACGTTTTATGACTACTTGTGTATATGCTATGACTATTGGACAAAATGTTCAAGGTTTTGTCCATATAAATAAATGCACTTCTGGTCTTTATAGCATATACAAGTGTTTTTGTTATATAATGTTGTTTGAAACGTTTAACATGTAAGACCACAGTAACCTTAAAAGTAAGTCAAGTGTGCTGCAACCGTTCAATGTATCTGCTGGTCAAATATGAAGACTACTTGGCACAGGTGGTACATAAAAATTGTTGATAGACTACTGACGTACGATACCACAGCATACCATTACAGACACTTCGAGGGAGAAAAGTAAAAATATTTGATAAACAATGAAATAAAGTAACTTGAAACTAAAAACAAAGACCACAGTAGATGTATTTTAGGGGTGTTAAACGGTCCCTGTAGGTCCCTATATGTCCCTAGGTCCCTTTGTGAGGTCCCTGTAGGTCCCTATATGTCCTAGGTCCCTTTGTGAGGTCCCTGTAGGTTCCCCAGATCCCTTTAGATCCCCCTATTTAGAGGTTCAATCATTTGGATGAAAGTATTTAATAAAATATACTCTAATCTAAAATAGCTACGAAGAAAAATGTTCAGTAATAAGATAAGGTCAACTTAACAGATGAGTGGTACGACCATCAATATTCTTAAGGTGAAATTATGTGAGAAAATTTGACATTCAGTGAAAAGACGAAGCCATGGTATTGTAATCTAACCTTAACGACACGGTAGTACGACCCGACTCCCATCATTATTCCCAAGATGAAACTGGACGATAAATTGTAACAAGACGATACCATTGTATATTAACCGTACGCAATAGACCTACGTGGTACGACCCGAATCCCATGACAATTATTGAGATGAAACCATGCGATGAAATATGACACGAACAGCTATTAACACGACAAAGCCATGGTACGAAATCTACCCTGAACTTGACTACACAAATGTATATACTCTACGTCCTGGTGGCAAATAGTTCACTTTTAGTCGACGATGGACAGTAGAAGTACTGCCCCAATGTGGTCTAAAAGATATGAAAGAATTATGAATTTCTTTCAGCAAAAGAAAAAAACAGCGCTACATAAGGAGCTTAAACTGTATGTGCTGTATGCGCGCTAACATATGTATGCACGAATTATAACCAACTAAAGGATCTAGTCAAAAGCAACATTTCAAAATAATATGATGTAGGAGGACAGATAAATTAACCAGCCAATGTTTGAAAAGGTAAGCAATATTTTGCTTTTAATCGATCACTATGAACCTAATACTATTAAAGGGCTAAGAGTCATATAAGTATATATCACTGAGTGACATGAACAGACCCTATTCTTAAAAGCTATATTAGAATAAAAGAAAAAACAGTTATCAAATTTAAATATTTATTTAGTAAATAGAAAACACAAACAATTCTCTGAATATCTTTAATTGCATAATCATATGAAAAACATCATATATTTAAACATTGTTCTCACTTTCTACACAACTATGGATGGAAGAAGTACTCAATCATTGAGAGTAGAAAGGTTTAGGCGAATAATTTTGCTGTGTAATTAGGGCTGCATCGTGATGCCGTCCTAGATAAGGAGCTCAAACTCGGTGTGGTAACACACAGATAAGAAATAAATGCTCCCTATAAGGAAATGGAGCACCACATTCTCGTGGAGAGAGTAGAAAGAAAGCAGATGCTTTCTCCCTCTACTGTGAGCGAGACACGTCGATAGAAGGAATTCGCCAATAAAAAGGTTTTATATATTTCATTCCTAAATGTTGGTAACGCCTACATATCAGAATAAAACGATATTCATCTTCTATGTCTAACTTACAATTTGGACAAAGTCTTTGTTCTCTCGCTATATTATTATAACGACCAGTTTCAATAGCTAGGTTATGAGCGGAAAGACGAAGTTAAGATAAACAGATTCGGTATTTTATAGGAATAAACGTCGTCAAATAGTATTGTAGAGTAAAATAACTTGCTGTGTACCTGTATAGAGTACATTTAGATGAGGACTCCAATAATCCCCCAGATGTTGTTGACTTTGATCAAATAGTCTTTGCTTTATTAGATGCAATTACCTTTATTGTTATACCTATAGTGATTTGCCCATACATCTCCGAAGT